GATTTTAGATGTGCTCCCTAAAATGCTGCAGTATTGTAACCTTAATGCAGAAGACAATCCCAGAATGCATTACAGTGATCTCCTAAGATCCACCTAAGATGGCAGACAAATCAAGAAAAATGTTGACTGTATAAATATAATTGACAAGTATCAACTAAAATTGTTCAATCTGATGTAAAATTTGACATTTTTATCCAGCATTTGAGAGTATTATATTTCTTCTCAATAGGATATCACACAATTAGCTTAGCAACATGCTAACACCAAACTCTATTAATATCAATTGTAGGGTAAGCTTCCCTATGCATTTCTTCTGTGAAAGTGTTGTTTGTATGATCCACAAAGTTGTTGAGCATTCCAACTCTGTTATTTGAGGATTCTTTTCAGTTAGGATGCTGCCTTAAGTCCGAAACTCACTGCACGATTTTCGGCTGTCCCAGATGGAAGATTGGTATCGTGAAACAATCGTGGCGATTTCTATGATCGTGGCTCCTAATCGGTGGTCCTGTGTCATACAGTGAGAGAGGTTCAAAGATGGCCGTTGTCACGGTCTTGCAACCAAAGATAGCCTATGATACAGAATGATCATCGCACAGTGTGTTTACCGCTACGATCCACGTTTACTGACCAGCCAATAAAAATGTGACATAAAATCAACGCGACATGGCACTAAAACATAAAACTGCTTACCTCAAGCTCTTATCCCTTCCTCTTCCGCCACTTCCACTTTTTCAGCACACATAAAAAATACAACTGCTAAAGTGTGATTTATCATGCTCTTTTTGTTTACCACTAGCACATGGTGATGACGTTTTATTCTTCTATAGTAACGTGCGTCGTATCGAGTCAATAGGTGTCATCATCGTACAGTCTACACACATCGTAGCCAAGTTTATTAGATCCATGTCACACAGTGTGACATGCAGTGATCTTATAGGATTGCTAAAATCATGCAGTGTGTTTTGGGCTTTAGAAACTTGCTCCCTATATAGGCAGCAGGCAGCAATGTAGCTTATTTGGTTTTGGAACAAAATTAGAACTTTGATTTCTTTCTCTCCCCATTTCCTCTTTCCTCTGAAACTTGTGCTGATGCCTGAATTTCAGAGGCAGAATCAATTTCTTTTGGGTCAGATGGGGTCAGTGGCTGGTCTGGAAGTGGAGCGAGTGAATTAATGATTATCATATGACAAGGCTCGCAAGCGCAGACTATCATCGACCCACTTATTGGGCCTCTGTTGTAGTTTCTGAAACCAAAGAGGTGAAGAGAAAGAGAAATATTTGAAGGCTTAATTTCATTCAGATTCTCAGGCGTTTAAGGTCTCTGCTCATAATGCGGCTTTAAAATCTCAAGCTTTTTTTTTTTGTAAACACGATGGTTTACAAAAGCAGCCCCCTGGAATAAAATACAGCTCAGCAGTCATTCATATCATATAGCCAGCTTTTACTTTCCATTGACACTGTCAGGTTGTGAGGTATTGGCTGTGCTGTTTTTACCGCGGTACATGGCAGGCTGTCACTCAGCGTGAGGCGTGCATGAGGGCTGCCGACTGCCTGCTTTGGGCCCATTGGAGTATGGAGATAAGGAGAAATAACAGTTTTCAGCTGTCTGCACGACTGACATTACCATTAGAATTCAACCATATTTATTATAAGTTATGGTGGACTTGTCAAAATCATTGAAAATCACCCAAACAGTACCTTACAGCCACACTCCTAGACTGCTTATTTATAAGGAAGACTGTCATTTACATACTGACTGGATACCTTAGAAAAACAACAATAAAATAAAACAAAGGGAAAATCTTAATTTAATTTAATTTGGTGTTAATTCGGTTTTATTGCTACTGTATGTTAGAAATCTTCATAGCACTCTTTCTGTCAAATAATATTCTCAGATCCTCTACTTTCCCATAACATCAGTTTTCTGTTTTCAGGCCACAAGATCTATAATGGACTTGCCCTCTTATTTTTAGATTTGAATGACATCCCTGGGAATTTTTCCAATTGTCGTGATCTCATTTCGGGCTTCTTTCATACTTGGTCACAGAGACATAGGCGGAGGGGCAGCAAACCGGACTAATGAAAAAAGGGTGCACATTACACTGCGTTTTTACTCCAACTGATAAAACAGCTTTCCCATTCTCTTCTTCCAGCAAAACTCTCTTCTTATTCATCATCTGTCATTCCACAGCTGGACCTGAACATCTCCAGCACTGTGGCAGAATAAAAGGGACACGGGATCTCATTATCCCAGACTCTCTGCTAGCTTTACTGCAATTGATCATTATCCAAAGGGGCCATTTGGACAAAACTGATTGTGTTCTGAGAGCGGAGTTAAGAAAAAAAGGTTTCCTTTGTGACTGCCGAAATAGAAAAACTTTGCTGATATCTTAGTCAGAACTGAACAGCGTTGCCCTGTCTGTCTCCTCAAAATACTTTACAAAGGTGTTTTTTTCACTATTGCTTTTTGCCACAATAACACCATTCACATCCCACATAACATATGGGTACCTTATTGGAAATGAATGTATTCTTTCTGTAGGTGCTCTGTTGATCAATTGCATACCAAAACTACTTTGTGTTAAAATAATGTTGTGCTTAACAAAAATGTGCACTAAAAATATCTAAAGGAAATCTCAAATCTGATTCTCTATTCTCTGCATATTTTCATCGAAAACCAATGCCGTTTAAGCATCAGTGAAGTCAAATTGGCATAAATGGTCAGGACTGCAATTTTTACATTTGAAATCAAATGTGAATAATATTTCTGAGGCAATAATTATCAGTGAACACTGCTGTAAATTTGAGTCTATCATAGCTATTATAAGACTTAAAATATAGTGCAGGATTTGTATAAACTATCTTTGTGGTATTTTATTTTATTTTGTTTTGTATTGAATTTCAAGACCGTAGGAAATATTTTGATTTGCAGTTGTTTTTGCCTTATTCTAAATAATTTTAAATCATCTTGACCCCCGATTAAGAACCACTGACACAGTCTGACATAAGTAGGAACCTGAGTAGGTGACTTAACCAGTCTTTTTTACAAATTGTTGGATACATTTAAAGATACATTTTCAGTGTATTCCGTTGACACCACATGCAAGTCATTGATGCAGTTCTTTGTCTGATAATCTATGAGTGGTAAGTTTCAAGAAACCAACCACTTCAACAAACCACTGAAATTTCTCCACAATATCTCATTGAATGAGCAAGCTGTTTTCTCAAAACATTCATAGATGTTTCTTTCTTCTTGCAATTGCACTAAAGTCTTCTTTCTTTCTGTAGGGTAAGTGTTTGTTTTGAATGTTTCCTCATCCAGGTTATTTCAAACTCACAAAATGTAGTTAGAGGTGGCAGTCCGACTGATTAGTGATTTTCCAGCCCCTTGGATATTAACAGCTTTGCTCCGTCTCTATCAAATCACCATATCAATTAATCACATGTAATTTTTCCTGAATATTTCCATGCCCAGACAGAAAAATAGAGTATATATATGTAGAGTCAGTGCTATAAAAGTACCTGGAGCATCCAGAAACTGTTTTACATGTCCATTTACAACCCTAGGATTTGTCCTAAGAATGAAATGGTTTGTTTTTACCTTATTTGGAAGGGTCATGAATATTAATCCCAGCCAACATTTGTGTGTGGGGCCCATGTGGGTTTGACATGGGCTGAAAAAGTGGGCCCAAAATGGGATTGTCTGCGGGTTCCATAATGGCCCAATATCAATTGCCCACATTTGCCCACATGGATTTCATGTGGGATTGTACTTGCCAACAAGTGGGCCCCAACTGGGCAACATGCACAAGACCCATCTTGGCCCCAGCTTTATTTTTTATGTGGGTACTACAAGGTTACTACATGGGCTGAAATATGGGTTGTAAGTGGGTTTGTCCACGGGTTCCATGTTGGCCCCATGCAACATACCCATTTAGGTTTAATGCAGGATTTCCCTGGGCTTTAGGTGGGGCCCAACTGGGGATGATATGCAAAGCCCATCTGGGTCCCATCTAAATAGGGGTTGTAAGTGGGTTTGTCCACGGGTTCCATGCTGGCCCAGTGCAACTTACCCATGTGGGTTTTATGCAGGATTTCCCTGGGCTTTAGGTGGGGCCCAACTAGGGATCATATGCAAAACCTATCTGGGTGTTAGGGTGTTAGGGTGGGCCCAACAAGACAATATGCTTAAAGCCCACCTGAAAATAATTAGGTTTGGAAAAACATAAGGGTGATGAAGGGTAAATGATGGTAGAACTTTCATTTTGGGGTGAACGGTCCCTTTTAGTAAATTATGTAAAATCAAATTAAGTAAAATTATTACATTTAGTAAAATCAAAACATCTCGCATATCACAAAAGGTCAGTGAATCCATACCAGAAGTGACAGTGCAGTGTAGCAGATAAAGGACAATCCTCCTCCAAGTGGCCAGTAATCAAGCTGCGTTCATGGGCTGGCGATGAGGTTGCTAGTGGGCGTTCTCACTACTGGTTGCCTTCACAGCGAATCAGGTTTCTTGCTGCTAATTACAAACATTTGGGAGGCAAAAGACTAAATATAACAAATACAAATTAAATCCGTACATACAAACAAAAATGAATGAGAAGCAGAGCCTACTTTTTCCCATTGCATATGTTTATCTACGGCTGAGAGGAGAACGATCACATGAGCTGTACCATCTTCTTTCCTACTGGCTGTTGCTCCCGAAAGTCGCTCTTCATTTGCATAAAGTTGAAGGATTCTGAACTTTGTAGCATCGCTGGACATGCCCCATCCGGTCACCAACGGCCTCTGTCGCTCTTGTCGCCGGAAATCACCAGCTCTCCATTGAAATGAATGGGATCGTGTTGCTTTGACGTTGCGTGTTGCTTGTAGTGTGAACGGGGAAAAAAAAGACAGAGGATTCACAAAAATTTACCCTTTCCATAGATATCATAGCAAGGTAAACACAACTGTAGCTTAAAAAAACAAACAATTTGTACACCACAATCAAACCAACCTTCATATAATTTTCCCTGCAGCAGCATTTATCCTGATATGACACATCTGAAGGTTGTGATGTTCTCCAGTGAATTAAATAAAGGACTGATGATGGTGACAAGTTCTATTCCCCTTTTTTTGTGCCACCTCAGAGGAAGACAGACAACAGGAAAAAAAAGTTACTCATTTTCTATCACCAGTGGAGGCAATATCTTATAAATGTAACGTTACTTATGATTAGAATCATACTTAAGATATTAATCCCAATGTGAGGTCTAGAAACGGTTAAAACTGAATAACATCTTACTGTAGTCTCTGTGTTGGGTGCCTGTTTTCCCTGAAAAACGTGTGCTTGATCTAAAAATGTAAACCAATATCTTATCATTAGCAGTTATCAGTATTTGAAGAGGTGAAATAAAAATAACTCCGAAACTGTCATCGACACAAACATAACAAATATAAAACATCTCAACTTTCCTACAGATTCCAGTGTTTCCGAGTGTAAATTGCAGTTTTCTCATTCACAGTACTTATTCCGATGTTTCTTTACTTCTCACGAGTTTGAGTTTAAAACTAGATGACATTAATACAAACACACAGCTCATTCGGACGCTGCATTGAAATACATAACTAACGTTACTAATCGCGATTAACCTCTCACTTTGATTTCCTCTCACTCACATAAATTATGGACACAAAACATAACTTTACGTTGGTTTGACTGAAAAAACGTTTTGTTACCTGATATTGCCATATGTTTGCAGGACCTCACACGCAGTCTCTGTGTTCACACTCCAGCTTCTGTTCTCCGTTGACATGTCACAGCTCATATTAGTTTAAAATAAGAATTTAACAGGCACATAATCAGGAACTGAGTGACCGAGTTATCTCGCGGATCAGTAGCAAACACACCACCAAACTGACGTATATTTTCAAACCTGACTAGTAAGAAGGCGCGCACTTTTGTCATTGGCCAGTTTCGTGGATGACAGTCAGATTAGCCAATCATGATGAAAGCAACCAGGTGAAACAACCAATTGCAATTGTTTCAGAGTGGTAATGAAAGAAAATAGTTTTTTTTTTTTAAAGAAATGTGTGTTTTTTAGGCTGTATTATTTGTTTAGTTCAGTGTATGAATAAAAATGTAATAATGAATTGCAAACTGTAGGTACCTACACAAAATTGTAAATCCACACAAAATCTCACTGCTCTTTTGAGATTAAAACTGCATCCATTTTAATTATTGTTACTAATGACAATAATTATATTTGTACATATACATTTGGATTTTTGAAGAGGTGTTTTGATCAAAATATCATAAAATGCTAATAAATAAAATATTAATGATCATAATAATTCAAAAGGCAGATATTTCTTGTTAAT